CCCGGGACCAGCAGTTGGCACAATGGCTATGTCGCTGGACTCCCATGTAGTCAACCGAGGTTCGAGTCCCGGACCTGGTGGCTTAAACTCATGCTGGGCGTGTGTGCGTGCGTGCCTAAGATTCTGAGAGAATGGAGAAGGGATTGCAGTGTGGCCATCCCCCCTGGGGGGGGGGGTGACGTCTCACTTTCTGTCTCTCTTTCTGGCGAATGCACATGTCCTATAGCAAAAAACTCTCCAAACAAAAACCCCACAAAAACAGTATGTGGGTCCAAGAGTGCAGGTGCCTGGGACATAACTGGAGTTCAGTGATACGTCCCACGTGCCTGGGACATAACTGGAGTTCAGATACGTCCCACGGCTCCCTCCCCCTGCTCGGAGCTCCCTGGGCAGCAGCACTCCTCTCGGACAGTGGCTTGATGAAAACAGGCCCATCACAGGACAGGCGTGTTACTCTCCCCTGATCCCTCCAGTGCTTCCCGGGATTCCAGGCAGGCTGCACCTTGGGGGGAAGCAAGGTCCTGGGAGGTCTAGCTCACTGTAGGACCCCAGAGCACATTCCATCTCACTGTCGGAGTCCAAAGTCATCATTATCTTAAAAAGTTCTTTTCCCCCAAGCGAGGGTTTTCCTCTAGCCTTGAGCTGCTTCTATAGTATAGTCAAGTCAAACCCAGGGGCCTGGAGTCCAGGCTGCAGCGACAAGGGGACCTTACTTAAGGTTCTGCCACTTACTCCCCATGACTTGGGTGAGCCATCCTTTCTGACTGGTTTGGGGAAATAGCGTCACTGAAACCACAGCTGAGAATGAGAGCTACAACGTACAGATCCATGGGCCAACACACCTGGCCTGCCCAGCACGCAGCAGGCGCTCAGCGAATCCCACGTGTGCTGGGCACAACTGGATGGTGGACCACGGTGACACTGAGGACGGGGGTGGGGTAATGATGCTCGACACTGCGCACCGGAACCACGCGGTCCTCATCTCCAGACTCTCTGCTGCTCGTTCCCTGGTTCCAGGCACGTGCCCAGCACACCGGGCGCACAGCAAACGCTCAGTGACCAGCCTGGTGTGCTTTTTTTTCTGAAGCTCCACGGTACCACGTGGGTGTTTTTAAGAAACTTCCTTAGATGTTAACACGGAAAGTTCCGGTGACGGAGCCTGGCAGACTCCGGCAAATGAAGCCACCTCCCCGACTCTGTACCATCGCCCACCACACAGCACGGTTCACTCTCAGCACGCACTCCTGCAGATAAGAAAGGTGGCCCACGCTTCATTTTCTTTATTTTTCATTGATACCGTATGAATACAAAGTTTCTAGAAAGCTACAAAATGTCTACCACTTTATCAAGAAGGCATCAAAATGTGTCACTTTGCAAAGACATGAAAACACCTGCAGAAACTGACACAAAAATAGCATTTTTAGAGTGATGAAATAATTGCACTTACTGTCATGGATATTAAAGTTATCACACATATGTACCGCGAAAGCTAGGATACATTTTTTTTTTTTACAAAGCACTTTATAAAAAAATTCTCTGCACACAAACCCTATAATTTTCATATAACTATTATACTAAAGATAAATTCACTTTAAAGCCAACACTGAGAACATTTTTAAACAAAAAAGGTACCAGTACCTAAACACAGACATTAACAGATACAAGAATACTGTACTGCCAAGAGGTTTCACCAATGCCTTTTGAAAATTTCTGCAAATAGGTTTAAAGGAAATGTGTGTGAGAATTGGCCCTCCCCACCCCCACCTCTCCAATCCACCCCAGAGGCACCCAAGTACCCAGAGGCAGGTTCCACGGCCACCCCAGCAGCAGTACAGTACCCAGGGAGCCACCGACCAGATGAAACGCTTACGTCACAAGCCCACTTTCTACAGGTGACACGAAGACACAGACCGGGAGAATCCCACTACGTCATTTAGAATGTGAACAGACACACGTGGCAAAACCCAATTTACAGACAATTTAAGCATATTAAAGAAGTAAAGGCTATTCAGGTTTCTTTTTTAAATGTTACAAAAAAAAATTTTTTTTTTGTCATTTTTCAGGCACGTACTGTTTTTTGTTTTTACTTATTTTTTCCTTGTCTCAGTCATGAGCCTACTGGAAAAGGCCTACAGAAGTACGTCTTTCAAGGAGGTAACAGGGAGACGTGTATTTTTTAAGAAGTGCAGTTGATATCTAATTCACACAGTGACGCTAATCACAGAGAATGACAACTGCGAAAACCCGGAAACAATCAGGGACTGGTTTGCAATTGATGTACGCCTAGAATCTGTCTGCCTCTTCGAGAGAGGGGAGGGAGAGAGCATCCCGTAAAGGAAGGCAGACAGGAGTCGGCCTCAGAGAAGTGGCAGCTAATGGAATCTGACCCCATTTAATGATGGACAAGAGGGGACACAAATGTCGCTTCCAATACTACCTGACTCCGTGTGGTCTATGAGTGAGGCCACACACATTCACAGACTGAAACAAGGTACAGCCGACGAGGAACAATAAATACAAACATTGTCACCTCCGTTCACGGTGCATGACGACGGAGAAACTGTCCTTTGCAATGCGGTACTTTTTACATACAAGGAAAACCTTCATTCTTAACATAAGCAATGAGTTTGTGAGAGAAAACTGTTGTCAAACAAAGCACAGGAACAGCTGAAAAGAGAAGCAGGAAAAGAAGCATTGAACTCATTTCTTCCAAGTTGTGGTATATGCCTCCCAGGGAGGAGCTGAGAATTCAAGCAACTAGAACTTGTGTGGAGCAATTTTCCTTTTCACTTGATTTTTTTTTCTAGAAATTTCTATAACTACAACTTGGAGTGGAGAGAAATCACTCCTGCAATCCCAGAGCCCAGAGAGGGTATATTCTTGCAGACAGCAGGTAAAGACAGACAGAACGTACTATTAGGAGTTGAGAGGCTAACTTTCAAAGATGTTATTTTAAAGTCTATACTAGCAAAGAACACCTTCTTTTATTTTTTCCTAGCTTGTTTTTGGCTACTGTTTTTGCCCTCTTGTCCTTTTCACTCCTCTTCCTTACCTCTACCCATTTTGTAATTTATCTAAGGTTTTGACAAAAGCCAACACGGACTTTAAAGAGATGCCCCTTCAGGGGCCGGGCCCTTCTGCGAATATGCCGAATTGTGAACGGTGCTCTTTGGAAGTTTCTCACAGCATAGTCATACATGACACTCAGAGCCGGCACTTCTGCCCTAAGAAGAACACTTCGATGGTGATAACCCTAACTCGTTTTTGTTCTGCACTGTCATCTCGGTTTGAGGCTTCCAACTTTCCAAATGGGATCACTGTGTAAACCAGATCAAGTGCGCACTGTCATCTGAATGGAAAAGAAGGTCCCCACAGAGACTGGACACGAACACGAGGAGGAGGAGGAAGCTGTTGGACCTGTCCACCGGCCGAGGTGCTGTCAATCGTGCGGGAGTTCCCTCACGCACGGGCGGGGCTGGTGACCAGCTGCAATGACACGTCGGGTCATCGGTACACAAACACAACAGTATCGGGGTCCGTCCCGCTGCAGTGCACCGTGGCTGAGCGTGGTGGGGTGCCCCGGTGGGCAGACAGGCTCGCAGCAGCAGGGACCGTGTGGAACTCTTGCAGAGGCCTGTGGTCAGTTACTCATCCTGGGAAACCAAAGGCATTACGGTGATCTCAAAATATTTTTGGTCTCTCTACAAAGTATCGTGATTATGGTAGCACTTTTCTAAGCTGGAATCTCAAACCAAAGGCACTTTCATGCTAGAGTGCAGAAGAGTCACAAATAGCTAAGTATTTGGTCAGGAATTTAAAAGGCAACATTAGAAGCACGATTTGCTTTTCATAGCAAACCACGAAGTGGCAACCTTCTATTTTGGTATATACATCGGAGAGTGTGGTCAAAGAACTGACTGCTGTTCGGCTTCAGATGTCAGGCCGAGGAGTCAGTTCTCAAGAGAACTGGAAAAAAAGAGATGGGCTCAAACAGAAAAAAGAAAAAAAGAAAAGAAAAGAAAAGAAAAAAAACAGAAACCATTTTTGCTTGCTCTGTTTGAGATATGGGCCGATGAGTAAATGAACACCAAGGACAGGTGTGGAAAAGGCTGGTGGCACGACTAAGGTATTACTAAGGCACTGCTTACTGGAACGCTTTGGCAGCTCTGAATTGAAAACTTCCTAAACAAAGAAAAAAGTAACAGTAGTAAGAGAAATGCTTCCAGCTTACAAAAGGGCTCACAGTTCTGGGGCAGTCTGTGCCCTGCATACCCCACACACGACATCTCGAAGGTTTAAGGCTTTTCAGAAATGACATGTGCAGAGCTTGGCCACAGAAACATCAACAGAAAGACAGAAGCAATGCAGACATACCCTCCTGTCTCAGGTGTTGTTAGGGAAGGTGCAGTGTACCAGAGCATATACGGAATTAGACACAGCATATGTACCTGGTGTGTAAAACTGTCATCTCAGGATTGAAATAACTCACGATTGGACAAAAACAACTGTGAAAGCCACCACAGTATTGACACCTAATGCAGACTTGGGGTCAAGTCGTGTGGAGACTTTTTACACCAAGTGCTCAGAACGGGGCTGGGTTTTGGCTGGTCTGAATGCAGGGCTTTGCTGCTGGGATGCGATGTGAATGGGAATTTGAGTCAGAGCCTGTGGCAGGGATGTCCTCCAATGCTCACGTCACAAGCTGGTTCTCTACCCGTGACAGGAAGTCACTGAAAGGCCCATTCAGATGTCAGGCCGAGGAGTCAGTTCTCAAGAGAACTGGAAAAAAAGAGATGGGCTCAAACGAAAAAAAGAAAAAAAGAAAAGAAAAGAAAAGAAAAGAAAAAAACAGAAACCATTTTTGCTTGCTCTGTTTGAGATATGGGCCGATGAGTAAATGAACACCAAGGACAGGTGTGGAAAAGGCTGGTGGCACGACTAAGGTATTACTAAGGCACTGCTTACTGGAACGCTTTGGCAGCTCTGAATTGAAAACTTCCTAAACAAAGAAAAAAGTAACAGTAGTAAGAGAAATGCTTCCAGCTTACAAAAGGGCTCACAGTTCTGGGGCAGTCTGTGCCCTGCATACCCCACACACGACATCTCGAAGGTTTAAGGCTTTTCAGAAATGACATGTGCAGAGCTTGGCCACAGAAACATCAACAGAAAGACAGAAGCAATGCAGACATACCCTCCTGTCTCAGGTGTTGTTAGGGAAGGTGCAGTGTACCAGAGCATATACGGAATTAGACACAGCATATGTACCTGGTGTGTAAAACTGTCATCTCAGGATTGAAATAACTCACGATTGGACAAAAACAACTGTGAAAGCCACCACAGTATTGACACCTAATGCAGACTTGGGGTCAAGTCGTGTGGAGACTTTTTACACCAAGTGCTCAGAACGGGGCTGGGTTTTGGCTGGTCTGAATGCAGGGCTTTGCTGCTGGGATGCGATGTGAATGGGAATTTGAGTCAGAGCCTGTGGCAGGGATGTCCTCCAATGCTCACGTCACAAGCTGGTTCTCTACCCGTGACAGGAAGTCACTGAAAGGCCCATCAGTTTTCCTCTCTGCGGTGGGTGTCAAGGACAGCTCTGGTCAGACAAGACCCTTGAGCGTGAGCAAGAGCATCAGGCTGAATACTAAAGTGAGGGAGAGCGATTCTGAGTCTCCCCTCTCTCTGGATCTGACCCTGTCCTCAGGATCTTGAGATCACTTAAGCATAGAGCACCGAAGAACGGCCTCCTCCAGAAGAGACCAGGGAGTAAAGCATCGAGAGCTCTAGAAAAGTCTCCACTCATGTTCTGAATGACTTCGGGCAAGTCGTATACCCTCTGGGTCTCAGTTTTCTCATGTACAAAATAAAGGAGGTAAGAATGTGCCCTCTGTGAGCTCGAGAAGGGAAAATTCTGTACGACCTCTCTGGAATGGATCTCCTCCCCTTCCTCGACCCAGAAAAGTTCCAGAGGATTTGATAGTCTACAAGTGGCACTGGCTGTAGGCAGAGCACAGAAGCAGCCCAGAGATAATACACGAAAATGACTGAGGGTTTGATAATCAGCCCCATGAGCTTATGAGAAGTAATAAAATGGTGAGCTGTTTGATTCTTAGTGAGATAAGGCTTAAAGATCAGATCAGAAACACTCCTTTAATAGGTGTGAGCTGATTATCGGGACAACGGGGACTAACTGTTCCCGCATCCCTGGGGATGAGCAAAAGGATACCGTAGAAAGAGAGAAGCAGCTGTGAGACACAAGTTTGGATACATCAAGAAACATGGCCATGGTGTCAGCCGATTAGTATTCCTTCTGCTCTCGATAACCTGAATAAGGCTTCCAGGAGAAAGGCTTTCACAGGATGACATGGAAGGAAAAAGAATGTCAAAACGGCTCACTGTGACCTGTAAGGTCTAGGATGGTGGTTCTCAACTGGGGTGACTTTGCAGTTGGGACATTTGGCAATGTCCCAGACACTGAGGTTATGACAAGTGGGTAAGAGGTGTTACTGGTCCTCCTGGGGAAAGAAAAGGTACACTGGTAAAGTTCTTGCAACGCACGAGTGGCACCGCACCTGGTCCAGAGTTGGCAGCATCGAGGGTGAGGAACCCTGGTCTTAGGTAGCCTGGACATTTAGGATTCTTGGACATTTCTGGAAGAAGTCTTGGTTTTATTTTAGGCCTTTCACTATGATGGAAATGAATGCCAATAGACTAGAGCTGCTGCTTCAGCTCGTCCCGATTTAGGCTGGAGCATACTGGTCCCCAGACTCGGCTAGAAGAACACAGTGTCCCAAAACAGACCTGGTACTGGGGGGTGGGGGGTATCAGAAAAAGGGCACCTGGGAGACAAGTGAGGACGGGGCTTTGGAAAAGCTTCTTCATGGTCTAGAAGGTGTTGAAGACAATGGGAGAAGACAGCCACAGAGAAGGAAGGACCAAGATGGATGCCACGCCACAAAATCTACCCAAGGGGCAATCTGGGAGAGAGGATGAGAAGCTCAAGAGTTTAGGGTAACTGAACCAGTGGTTACGATGGAAGGGGGGACTAAGATGGAGAAAGCTTAAGAAGAATGAAGTAGGAAGCAAACTTTACAACATCTTAGAAATGTTCCAAGAACAAAAGGCAGTTCTCAAGGTCAATCATGTGAACATATGAAAGTCAGCTAGGAGGCCAGCAGAGGGAGAGGGTGGGCGGTGAGGCACCCGGGGCCCAGCCACACCCTGTGAAGTCAGCAGAACAGCAGGGTCAGGGTTCGAGCTGGTTTCCTGGGGCCCCAGTCATTTTGTGCTATAGAAAGTAAATGCCAAGAGCTGTCCTGGTAGCACAGAAGAGCCCCCTCGCCGGGTGGGAACATGAACCAGATCTCCGAGCCCCTGCAGCTCTGGGACCCTGACTTTCTCCACACAGGACCATTTGCACCTGGGCACGCAGCTCTGGTCCTGAGAGAGCAGGGATTCCCTTGAGGAAGAACATAGGAAATAGGAGCAAAAGGGACCTCCGCAGAGGGGAGTCCAACAGAAGTCACTGTAAATGTAATGACCATGAGAGAAGCTTACACGTCTGGGCAGAAGGGCGGACAGCTGGGGCAATCCTTCAAAGGCTGGCTTGGTACCAGGAAACAAACGGTAGTCTCCTTCTCCTTCCGAAGGGAAGGGCAGCCCCGCCCTACTGATCCCTGTGAGGGGTGTGCATCCCCACAGGGAAAGTTTTGCACTTTCTCCGCTGGTCTTGCCAGTGACCGGTGATGCATTGGGAGAGGTCAGTTTAGTTGTTTTCCTATTGGCCACGAGCCAGTCACACCCTCAGGCTCGTGACCACAAGGTGCCAATCAATGTACAAGCAGAGTCAGAGCAGACGGGGGAGAGGGAAGGAGGGTGTGCTCACTGAGATACGACAGAATTAAGTTTTTCGTTTGGCGGGAAAAACCTTGACATGCCTTACAACTTACAAAACTTATTTCACATTCTACTGTGTGGCAGTATTCTCAATGGTTTATTTTTAAAAATCGTTTCCCTCTGGCAGTTGGGGGGTACCCCCGACCTCTCCCCAATGAAGCACTTATGGAAACAACCCAAGACATGTGGTCACATCAAACCAACCCTGCCTGGGCAATGCTTTGGAGGACCTGGGACGGAAAGTTCCATCTCCCCTGGAAAGAGACCCTCTTGAATGAGTCTGTTTGGAAAGGTCAAAGGTAGACAGCTGGGCCTCTTAAACGAAATCAAACAAGCACTAGGAGTTGGCAGGAGAGGGCAAGGAAACAGGTATCCTTGGAGAGAATGCATCTAAGTCCACGGATGCAGATGGAGATACACACCCTATCAGCACCTAGCAAACTGAGTGACACTCAGTAGATGCTCATTAAACGTGGAAAGATGAGAGGTGCATGTGCTTGGCTGGATGGGGACACACACTCGGAGAGAGTCACAGCAGGTTCCTATGCACGCTGAGTCACCGGAAATGAAGACTTTAGCCACAGGCTGGTGAAGATGCTTGCCATTTTCTGGGGAGCAGAGATACTAAAACTCATGGGCCTTGTACTTGTTTGGTGGATGAAATTTTCTCCCAGCCACAGGTGACTTACTTTGCAGCTCACAGTGCAGTATTCATGCCAATTTTTAAATTACGCTATTCCATTTCAGTGGTTCAAACAGTTACTCGTCTTCATAAAAAATTTGGTTGTCCACATAAAATATAACTGCACACACAAGACTATAAACATCGTAAGTTTAGATTTCTCAGTACTTAACTACTTATTGCAAAAAGAGCCATCTTTTTCTTTTTCATTAAATAATCAATCATCGCATTAGTACAATACAATTTTATCTCTTTAAATATACTATATATGTTAAGGATAAGGGGTGACGTTTTCTTCCTTTGTAATACCTGTTCAAGAGTTTAATGGATTAGGAGATTAGTTTTCACCTTGAGGAAAAGAAGGACAAATTTGTCTCATTAAGATTCCTACCAAGCATTTAAGGCTATAGTTTAACATTTGGTTTCAAAAAGAAAGGAAAGTTTCATTTAAAAAATAATTTAGTGAATTACATTCTTTCATAACTTTCACCCTAATTAGTTACAAAGATAAGTCTAAAGATTCTTAGTTTCGTGTACTAATTTACATTTATATTTAAAGATTAATTTTACTTGTATCTTAAAACAAGGATTTTATGTTGGAAAAAGAGAACTAAATACATTTGTATAAAGGCTGTAATGCCCACGGCAAATGCTCTGTCTCAATCATTTTCTACCACAATTAGAGAAACGTCTCTGCCGAGAGAGACTGCGGTTGTTAGGGTTCACCTTTCCCGAGGAATTGTGGGCTGCAGATCTGAAGAACACAAAGAAACAACTCGATTTCTCTTTTGACAACTGTACCAGAACTTCACAGCTACAATGATCGTAGGAACACATGAAAAAATGACTTCACTCAAACAGGATTTAGAAAAGTCGGGGTGACCTCGGGGCCAGGGCACCACCCTGCGCGGTGAGGTTTACAGTCAGTCGTTCGATAATGGAGAGTGTGTGTGCATGTGTGTGTATATACAGATATCTATATATAAATAACCATGTCCAGTCCTTTACAAGCCTGTAGATGTGATGTTGTGCTCCGTGTTCGCTATTGGAAACCTCAAATACACAGGCCATGCAGAGCAGAGTTTCTTGTGTATCCCTGTTTGTTACCACCTGTTAAAAGAGAAAAAGGTACATATGTGTAACACCACACAGGTAAGAACCCGCTCTGTCTGTGCGGGGATGACGACGATTTCACTCGAGGGGCGCAGCCTGAGAGCAGCTGGGGGCCATCCGAGATCTGTTCAGGCCTTCTCCGCCTTCTAACACAAACTCAGAATACCAAGGTCTGACCTGATTCCTGTCCACGCTTGCTGACCATATGCAAGAAAGGCCTTCCTCTCGTTAGACCTCCAGATTATGCTCAGCCAGAATCAGGGCCCAGGAAGAGACAAGAGTCAGTGGGGGCTTGGATGGTGGCAGAGACAAAACGACACCGCGAGGCTGACCCATGTGGGAAAGTTCACGGCCACAGCCCTGCAGAGCAAGGCAGGTGAGCACATGCCCCTGACCCAGGGCTGGCTGAGGCTGGGGGTGGACTGTGGACCCTGCAGATGGTGGTTTGAAATACGCCCCCCTCTCTTTCTGTTTTTCTTGCTCAGGGAAGAAATACAAATAAAATGAAAAATAAAAGGGTTGATGTGATTTGTGTTTTCTTGGGTTTTTTTAGGAGCCAATTTCTTCAAAACAAAGAGTTTTTCTATAATTCTGTCCCATAGGACAATCATTTATCCCAGGAAATTGTCTTATTTCTGTTATCTTTAACCAACAAATAGCACTTGTATGTATTTACGGGGTATGAGGCGCTATTCTGATAAGTGTCCGTTACGGAATGATTAACCGGTCTAATTAACGTATTAATCACCCCACCTACTTAGCCTTCCTTTTGGGTGAGAAGATACAAAATTTCTTTTTCCAATCTTATTATTTCTGGGTAAGTTTTACTATAGTACATATGTGCTCACCAGAGAGAGACAGAGAGATGGAGAGAGAGAGAGAAAGTGAGAAATCACTCCTGAGGGGGATGGCCACACAGCAATCCCTTCTCCTCTAGTCTCTAGTCAGCCATGTGGGATCCAGTCCCTTACCACCACTGGCCCCTTATCTTCTTCTTAAACTTTGTCTGACTTCTGTTTCACAATAGCCAGTGACACCACTGGCCAGTGAGAGCCCTGCTCAGCACCGTATTAGCAAGCAGCGCCTAGACTCAGCAAAACACCTGCCAGGAAAGAGCAGTGGTACAGGGGACTCATGCCAAGTGACCCCACAATCTAAGACCAAACCTCTCCTAGAGGCTGATGTCTCTCCTATAGACGAACCACCCAAAACTCTTACCTCCCCTTCTTCCCGGCACCCCCACTCCGGAGTCCCCCACCATACCCCAGCCCCACTTCGGCGCCACCAGTGCCCGCACCA